GCTGAGGCTGCATCGGCGAAGCTTGCAGTGGCTGAGAAGGAAAAGGAAGTGTCCGCAACGGCGTTCAGCCTTACCTTGCAAAATATGGAGGAGAAGCTGGAAGCCACAGCCAATGAACTCAAGGTGTTGTCGAAGCAGAAGGCAGCGGCTGAGCAGGTACAGGCACCCAAAGAGCTAACTTGTCAACATAGATAGCGTGATGGTCGAAGCACCAGAATTTGCAACGGATATTCGAACCAGTCTGTTTATTTTCTATCCGCAAACGCTGCACTATGTTGAATAATTGGAAAGACCTGAGCACCAAGAATGGGAAGAGCGGTATGGCAACAAGACATCACAAGGCTTGATCGCAAAACAGGATGCACGAAGCACCGTGGCGGCTTGGAAATGTCTGAAGGCAAGAGCCTTGATGATTCGCTACCAAGAAATTCGGATAGCAGCCGCCCTTGAACTTCAAATGACACCGCGCCCCACATTCTCTCGCTCCTGGGTCTGGAAGTCTCAACTAGAGATTTAAGCAGCCAGCAAGAGCCTGCTGTTGCATGTTTCGATAACCAAACAATACCCTCGGATTGTGCTCAGCATTGGGCTTGTTCCATCCATAATTTGGAAATATTGGTTACCCATCTTGGGCTGAATGTGTTGTAGGCATTCAAAGAAGAGATCACCAAAGTCCAGGAGCTTGAGAAGCATAGATTGCATCTGAAGGAAACTCTGGATCGGGAGAGAAGAGACGCATTCCTCAGCATCAACCAGTATCACAAAGAGAGAGAAAACATCACAGAAAAGATGCAAAGGTTGCAACAAGAAGTCGACGCGCTTGAGTCGTCCTTCAGGTAAGCCAAGTAAGCTGTCTATCAACGTGTGCATGGGTCGACCGACAAGTACGCACATTCGCATTAGCTTGATATGATGCAACAAGCGAAAAGAATGCGTTGTGTTCCTCGCTGGCATTATTCATGAAAATGGCTTGCATCAGCCCAACTGTATTGCGATCAAAACCGTGCGCAGTAGGAATCGCCCAGGATGAGGCGCTGCTGCGAAGCATCGGTTTGTTGAGAGAATTTCAAGGAACTTCTGCGCACAGAAAGATCTTGGTCCTGAACCTCGTTAGCTGATTTCATATCCGCGGGCAAACCTACAGCCATTAATGTGCGCAGTGTTGGCATCCCAGGGAGGAGCAAGCTGCGAACTCTGCACTGAAGAAGCACCTGGTGGATAGCCTCAGCTCCGAGAAGCTTCTTGGAACTTGGGAAGGCGCCGAGGCACTGACACCCGTTCTCGAGATGATAAGTCCCTTCATTGACAAAGAGGACAATCCATCAGGGGAGCGATATGCCTTGACACGAGTACTGCAGGCACATCAACACAAGCTCCGCAGCACTTTTCTTTACTACTGCCAAATGTGCACGCAGTTTGAGAAAAGCTGGCCGCCTTGCATGGCCATCAAGGAGTGGGTGTCGTTCTGCAAGGACTCTGCGATTTCAGGTATGCATGGGAGAATGGGGGCCATCAACCTGCCTTCCAAGATCGCAGAACCAAGGGGTTTTTGGTTGGTTTATGTCACTGGCATCTCGCGCTGTGATCCTGCAATAATCTTCTTGACATTCGATGCCAGGGCGCACGTCTGGACCAGGGCTGGCCTTCATGCCCCAGATGCATGTGTGCACTGCTAGATGTTGTAAATGGGTGCACTTTAGTGTCCATGAATGGATGTGTCACAGCGTAGAACGCACATGGCATAAATTGACATTACATTGCGTATTCCTCTTCCAGTGATGCAAAGTTGTAATGAATAGAGCATTTGCTCCAACGAAATGCAGTGGGCAACGCTTGGACAATGGACATATTGCTTGACCGCTCCATCCCACGGGATACAGGCGCGGCACCTTGTATCGAATGGCGCCGGCAGGCGGACTACTGGCGCTGCGGGCACCGTGGCACTGCTGCTGCTATTGACTGTGGTGCAATGCGGATTGGTGTCGCGAGAAGAGAGCATCAGATTCTGGAGGCATTACTGCTGATTGGGCGCTACTGTTCTGTCAGATGCTTGCCTTGTACTCTCCTCTGTTCACCAATTGACTGCAGGGTCTGTCTTCTTGCACAGATCCCAGGCCTGGAGCGCGGATTCGTTCCAATGCTCGAAGTCTCATGATGTCTGTGTCTGATATGGAGAAGGTTTTCGCCAAGTACTCTCGCATTGAGTATGACTCGATGCAGAAACACCACCCAGCATTGGCGTATGAAGGATTTCTGGCGGCGGTTGTGCACTGCGCTGACAGATTGAAGCCACCAGGCATTCCAGTCTTGTCTGAAGCCGTCCGCGGGTTCCTATCTCTCAATTTTTCCAAAGGCAGAGCAGGGGCAGTGGCAAGACCCAAACCCAAAAGGACAGGTGCCAAAAAGCCAAAGAACGTGCGCAGATGGATATAAAACAGGCAAATGAAGATATAGAAGTGGCACAAATTGGGCAGCTATCCTGTATGTACTATGAAACACTAATGTTGTAAGTTGTTGACTGGGCACTATCGCGCATGCTGCGCACTACTTTAGTATATCCAACCCTTTGGCATGTTACCAATTTTGCATCGCTTTTCAAGGGTGTTTGGTTCCTTAACAATGTTCCCACTAGAATCGCCTGTTATCTATTCGCTAGGCATAGTGTCTGGATGGTCTGCAGGGGCAAGGAACACAGGCTGGGGTCGTTAGGTACCAGCCAAAGGTGCCCTTCTCGGTCGCTTCAAAGGTCACGTCTGAACACCAGCGTTACAGTCGACTGGCCAGCCATTGGCGCAGGTGGACACAGTTCGGAAGGGATGCAGCGCCACACACTGTATCCCTTTTGTTCCTCCCAGGGAATGCAAAGGGCCAGCATTCGAGTCCACGACTCTCCTGCCTGCATTCAATACTTAAACCTCAAAAGCACAGTTGGAGCGATGCAAAAAACGCTCCAAGAGTTCAACAGGAGTTTCCTGCATTCCAAGGGGATTCACTACTGTGAACAAAAGATCAATGCAAGTGAATGCAAGCCAGAACTTGGACCGTTTCTGCTCAATTCCAGGCATTCTGCTGTCCTATCGCTCCCCAGCTCATGCCATGTCGCAGAATTGCGGTGAATGCGGTGACCTTCGAGCCTCTCATTCTGGCTTTGTAATAAGACCACCAGTCCTTGCATTCTCTGGTGGCCAGTGGATCCAATGGCACTGAGTTGGAGCATCAATCCCTCAGGCATTCTATGCCATCTGCATCGCAACCAGTTTGTGCCATTGCTCTTGGGCTCTGTGCCCTTCCACCTGTTGTCTACTGACCAGTGAGGCTGCTGACTGGGCAAGCATGGCCTGGATGAACTGTGAGGCCAGTTGTACAGACCGTTGCCCAAGCAGTTTCTGAGCTGATGCGCCAGAAGTTTTGCGCTGTTGGTTTTTTGAACCAGATTTTGGCTTCGCATTTTTGCGAAAGAACGTCACTTTACCTTGTCAGTGGCTTCGCAAAAAGGGACAAAATATTGCGTCGCTATGCTGAAGGGCTTAATAGACTATGGCATGCTTATCACACGTATCCCCAGCAATAGAAAGGCAAAATGAGTGCATTGCTGGGAGGCATGACCTCTGAACCAGCAAGTGGCCAAGATCTTAAGCAACATCCATAGCCTGCAGATCCTCCTAAACTAGCCCTTGCCATTACTTCAATGTACTAAATAACCGAAACTTGGGATTTGGCGATCATAGATTCTTCAGTCCTGCATGTCTGGTCGCTGACAGTGAATGAGAACAGTTTTGACAAGAGTTCAGAACTTTCCTCAATGCAATTTTTTGAAGCAGTCCTACAGGAGATTGCATTATGTGTAAACATGCAATGTTGTGGAGTAGATTATGTAGTTCAATTCCTTGTGCGGTGCACAGGTGAGCGCTGAATTACCAGCTGGCACAGTTGATTGGCAATCGCTGAAGGGCAGTCATTGCATTCATCGCTTTTGGTGCATCCCGTCCACAACAAACTGACAATCCAACAAACAATCCCGCTACCAACACCAAAAGCAACCAGCAAAATGCAGGCATGCCGTATCTTCAGCGAGATTGAAAGTTGTGTTGGGCTGTTGGATCCTGGAGAGTGACTGCAGACGTCAGACTCATTGCCATCCAAAACTGCTGCGCGTACGCCTCTCGTTGTGCGCACGGGAGCCCAATTCGGCATTGTTATCACTCGAGCTGACCGCCAGATCGCTTTGCGCAGTCTCCTCCCCTGGATATTGTCCCTTCTCGTGCGGCGGCCGTCACAGTTGGGGCCTAACGTTCTGTGCGCACAACGATATCCGCTGCTCTTTCTGCTCCAGCGGCTTCCCTCCCGGCGCCAGAAGGAGCACATTACTGCCGATGAGGAGCATGATATCCCGACGGTTCACCTGTCTACCGTCCCTGCTGATCTTGCACCCTTCTTCGCCGTCCTCATCTGCACGTGCGCGTCGAAGCTCCGCGGAGCGCCCACCACGCGGTTGTCGCCCTTCGTGCTAATCCGCGTCATGGAACCGGAGCATCAGATGCTGAGCTCCGACAAGACCAAGCGTGGAAGGATAATTCGATAAGTCCGCCCTTGCTGTGCTCCACCAAAGAACATGGCTGGCCGTTGGCGCAGGATCGGATGCACTGCCTGGCGGGAAGGCGTCCTGTCGTGGGCCTCCAAGGCGAGGTGAGGCGGGCGCGGCGGGGCATGGGCGCCAGGACGACCTTGGAGGGGGAGGCGTCGCGAAGGTCGCGCTAGGGGACGTCGGGGTTGGCCTGGCGACGGGGCAGGAGGGCACCCAACCTCAAGTTTCAAAAGGCAAGCCACACCGAGTCGGAATACCGTACCCAGGAGTACGGTAGAAAAATCGATACATACATGCCTGTGCTGAACGCGCCCTCGTCCCCAACACCCCACCGGCGGCGGAAGCGCATCCTCACCGGCCTCCTCTCTGCCACCCACTGGCTTGCCGACTGAATTGGGAGAGTGGCGGCTGAGCCATGCGTTTAGAGAAGTGCTGGTTTTGCTCCAGTACCATCTATCCCGGGCACGGGATCACCTTTGTCCGCAACGACGCCACGGTACGTGCCGGGCGGGGGTGCGGGGGTGCACAGCGGGGGTGCGGCAAGTGCGGGCGGGCCAGGCAGAAGCTGCGTTTCCGCAAGAGCTGATTCTCTGTCGCCCTGTCGTTGTGCAGATTTTCCGGTTTTGCAGGTCCAAATGCCACGCAAACTTTAAGCTCAAGAGGAACCCCAGGAAGTTGCGATGGACCAAAGCGTACAGGAAATTGGCTGGCAAGGAGCTCGCTCAGGTGGGCGAGTTACGTCTTCGCTTGAGTAGAACATAAAAATGGTGCTAAGGTGTTGGATGGAGACTGGTGTTGGGCTCCTGAAGAGAATTTGTTGCTCTGATATGGATTGTTATGCACGAATCTCTGTGTGCTCTCAAAAGAGAGAATAGAAAATCACAAGGTTGCATTTCGCTGGCAACGACGCCCTACTGCATGCCTCTGTTGGATTGAGGAATGACACACTTTTGCACCAGAAAATGCATAAATCCTCCTGGAACAATGTTGAGGGGCCTTTCTCCTTTGGCCACATGCCACACTGATTTCCTGCTTTCCTTGACACGTGATCAACGACGCGTCCGAACAACATATCGTCCCTCGTACTTTCGGAACAATCGATTTCTGGCAGCCAAGTAGGCACGCCACCAAGGCAGCGACAGCCAGTGTCCATACACACTGTTGAAGTCACCTGGCAACTGGGAAGGGTAGTTGTGTTTGGATTGCACATTACAAGACTGGGTTCTTTGACTTGCCAGTGAGGTGCACTGCACTGTTTCTTGATAGGACACAACCTTCGAATTGGAGAGAAAACGAAACAGGCCAGAGCGCTACAACAGGGAGCTGCTGTGCGCAACGATGAAGGGCATGAAGGCTATCACTGAAATCAGGAAGAAGAGGCAGGATCGCTTTTATGACACCCGAATGCAGAAGGCCCGCAAACAGACCAGAGAGTCTGAAAAGAAATCCCTCCTCAAGGATATCCATCTTGTTAAGGCACCAGAATCGTTGCTGAAAGACAAGCAACAGGATTTGCTTCTTGAGAAGGTTGCTGCAGAGCCTGTGGCCACAGTTGAGCAAATGGATGTTCAGGAGTGAAGAGGATGGTGGGAGAGATATGAGGAAATGAGGTGCTCCATTCAGTATAGCATCTTTTGATCTCTGTGTGGCGCATGGGTGAAGTCTGCCAAGGTAAATAGGAAAAGATGCCAGAAGATAAGGAGCCAGCAGAACGTGTCAGCCGCTTTCTTGTGGCGCGTTGCTTACAGACACATTTGTGGGCACTGGAAGCGGTGTTGGTGTGCAGGGCCTTGATTTGGTGCCAGACTGATTGGTTGCCAGAGCCAAGGCCTGTTGAAGGGACTGCACAACTGCTATAAATGGAGCAGCATTGGTGGAACGTCAGGCAGCTCAATGTTCATACAGGCAGACAGTTAAATGATGTGTTCAGTAGAGTATTGTGGAATTGGTTTCAATGGGGTTGCTGGACATCTTCTATGAGTCAAGTTGGCTGCTGGTGGATCCAGTGATGGGAGGAGAAGGGAAGAGGTGGTGGCATGGGTGGCACGAGGGAGGGCCGCGGCTGATGTCCATCACGTTGGAGCAGATGAGAAAACATATGCATCCTGGTAGCTTTGGGGTCTTTGATGCATATGGAAGTCTGCCTCAAGTGCACGAGCTCAATTTACAGTTGTAGACAGGTGGCAGTGTCAGAGGTTTCCGTGCAGACTGTATGAAGGTCGGCGAGTCTGCCACCACTGAGTGCTTGCAGACACTACCTTGTGTGCATTGTCTCCACTAATGTCATCCTTCGATGCCCTGCCACAACGATCGCATGCACTTCTGTACTTCAGCCATTCGCTACCAACTTGTCACTTGGTGATAGCGATGTGACTTGATACCTACGTACTTTCTGTCATTAACCGTCTTCAACTGCACATTGCATCGAAGATCCATGGGAGTGACCCCATGGTTGCCGCACTTTTCAGGTGGTGCAACTGGCCGCTGTGCAAACTGAGGTTCTGGGGAATTCGTGTGCACATTGCATCGAAGATCCATGGGAGTGACCCCATGGTTGCCGCACTTTTCAGGTGGTGCAACTGGCCGCTGTGCAAACTGAGGTTCTGGGGAATTCGTGGAAGCACTGATCGAACATTTGTGCGCCACTTCGCGGCCAAGGTGCAAGGGCTTCGTTTGTCAGGGCTATGTTGACAGTGTAGTCCTACGGAAATAGAGGCATGCCCGTCGGAGGACAGCGGAGGACAGCGCATGCATCTCGCAGGCACTCCGTGCCCCGCCGAAATTGCTGAAGACCATAGGCAACTCAACGACCCGTTGAGTCATTGTTGGCTTGTGCAGGTACGGGGTTAGGGATGTGCGCGGGGCCGGGGCTTCTGAAGCCTGTCTCAAACTAGTGCGACTCATTAACTGCAAGTCACCACACAAATGGCCTCCACATCATCAGATGAGCGGGGCATTATTAGCAGTACACCAATATCAGGCAGACCCCGTGTCTACGTGTAGCGATAGTGTTGGTCCACACAGGCTGTGAGCTTGCGGAGATGGCAGATCCGACGTGTGGGCGACGCAAGTGCTCGGCTCGGCTGCCAACGGCTGTCCGAACCTGGACAGTGTGAATGCCGATGGCGACGCCGGGCGTGGCCAGTCGCGAGGCCCTGCAGGTCCCCAGGGTGTGCGCGGGGGTGTCCAGGCTCCCCATCCGCCCGAGCGCGGGCCGGAGCCCCGCCAGGGGCGCAGTGAGCTGCAGGGCGAAACAGGCAAGCGGCTCCCATTCCCTCGCCGGCGCTGCCTCTGTGGCGCCTCGGTTCCTCGCCGCACGCTGCGCGCACCAGGCCCCGTTGTCGCGCTCTTACTCGCATTGGTCATGCATTGATCACTTGCAGTGCCTTGCCGGCCCTCGAGTCGGATCGCGGCGCGTCCTTTTCGCAAGTGGGGAGTTGCGTGGATCGAGCGAACGGCCGTGCTTGGGCAGGAACGTTAGGAGGCTGATGTTCATTGCGCGCACACCAGAATGGCACCACTGGGCTCCAGGAGGTGGGCCAGGCGGTGAGCGCCGCTGCGGCGGCCGTGATGCTGGGCCTTGGGGCGGTCGCCGGGCCCGCGTTGGCTGCCGAGTTGGACATCCTACTGGAGCCCACACCAACTTCGCGATATGTCATCGATGACGCTGGCGTGCTGAGCAAAGCCACCAAAAGGGAGCTGAACGAGAGGCTGCAGAAATTGGAGGTAATTTGGCGCTGGGCTCCAGCTGGGACATTGCCGGCGAATTCGCTCGCTTGTTGGTGGGTGAGGGAGCTTGTTCGCCGTTCTGCTGAGCCGAACGTGTCGCAGTGCTGCACGGAGGTTGGCACTTGGCGTGCTCAAGTGGTGCGAAATTGCTTCTTGCACAAATTGTGGATTGCGGATGTATGCAGGCGAAAACAAACTACCGGCTGGAGGTTGCCACCGTCAGGAAGCTGGAGTTTGAAACCGATCCTTTTGCTTTCGGTGACAAGGTGAGCTTTGTTTCACAGCAGACGCAGGTAATTGTTTGTCTGAGCTGGTGTTTGCTACCTGGGTGCCACCCAATGCCGCCTCCTGCACCGTCTTGGAGATTGCGAAAGGTGCAGTGGAAAATTTCTTCCGATGAAAGGGCAACTTGTCGCGCAATGTGCACGCCTTCGTGAGCGAGGTGCTGCCAAACTTGTCGTCCTGCTGTAGTACCCAGGAGTACCCAAGTGCAAGAAGCAGCAGAGCCGTGCGGCAGCAAATGCATATTGTGATGGAAAGTGAAGCTGCGCTTATTGGTGCAGGTCATTGAGAAATGGTATCCATCTGTGGAACAAGGAACGAACAAAGGAATTCTGCTGGTCGTGTCTTCCGCCAAGGAGGGAGCTCTGACAGGGGGGCCAGGTTTCCTCAAGGTCAGTACATTTGCCATGCAGGCATCGATGGGTGTGTGAAGACGTGGCCAGTGCATGCAGCAAGTGCATGGCTCTCAACACATTGCTCTAATCCTTTAAATTCGCCTTTCACATGACGAAGTTGTGCCCTAGGACCTTGTAGAGGATTATGGGCTTGTATACCACCTCTCAATGCGCTGCAGTCAACCCATGTTGCTAGCTTGCCATAAGAGACTTTCTGAATGTGCTTGCTTGCCTTTAGGCTGTTGGCGACGACCTCATCGACAGCATTGTTGGGGACAACATTCCCATCTTCACGGAGGAGGAGAAGTTCAATGAAACTGTTCTCAGCAGTGTAAAGAGAATAGAGGCCACGTTCACAGGACAGGAGGACCCAGGTGATTGACAGCACAATGCACAATTGAAATGTGGCTTGCCTTAGGACTATGGGAGTCGGTTAACTTAGACCATGCTTGCAGAATGACAGGCAATGTACACCTGTGGGAACTAGCAAAGCAGCCTGCCTGCCACTGATCACATTCTAAACACTGCCAATTGCTGCCATGGCAGCAACATGATGACAGAGCATGACCATGTATGCGCAGATTGAAGCGAGTCAGCTGTCAGCTAGTAGCATGTTGCTGAGTTGTGCAAGTCATCAGTGTGTGATGGAATGAGCTTGTGACAGCACATGCAAACTTGAATAACGATGCACAGTTTAGTGTTGCGAGAGGACGCATGCTCACATTCTGTGTGTGGATTGCTACGTCCATCGCATAAAGTGATTGCTCCGGATTAACCATGCCTTGCCTATAATTGCCCTTCAACGTCATAGCTTCTGCTGTGATGTCGTTTTGGCCAAATTGGCCTGCTGACCACAATAACACCCATCTGAAGGTGTAAATACTTGCAGAGGATAAAATAGCGGTTGAACTATAGATTGTGATAAGTCTATTGTCGTGAAATAATGAATTGTCGTTTGCTTAGGACCCAAGATGTGACAAGGTTTGACCTTTCCTACGCTGCTGTGCTAATCACCTTTTGATGTGAGCAGGTGCGCCAGAAAGGGCGGACAGAACCCGCAAGCGCACTTACAGGACGAAAGCGGAGACGGAAAAGGGCAAGGGCGTCACATCAACGGTTGTCATTAGTCTCCTCGTCATTTCATTTGTTGTACCCATGCTCCAGTATTATGGCTATACTGCCAAGGAATGAGGCTTCGGACCAGCTCAACAGGGATGGCCTTGGCACTGTGCAACGGCACGTCTGTTGTGGCAGCGCATTTGGTAGTTTTGCGGCACTGTGTACGTTTGAATGTTGTAAATTGTCCAGGACTGTTTCATGCCACCAGGTGCAGTAATGCGGATTGGGAATGTGACAGGTACCAACTATACTTAGCGCATGATGTGGTGTAGCTTGTTGCATCATGCGCTGGTTGTGAGCAGTGGGACAGTATATCGAACAAATCCCATGGCTCAAGCACAGCCTGCAAAACGCCCTTGACACCACAGACACCCTTTCATACGGAAAACAGAATGACCCTGATTTGCTTGCACTTTGGTACTTTGCCAACGCCGAAAAGGAATTAGTGGAGCGAAGTGGGACCCTGGTGTTCCAACTCCGGTCCACCGCCGAAACTATGCATGGGCAATCCTGCCCATAAAATCCTGTACTGAAGACTCAGTTCCCGGAATGGCTCTTGGGGTGCTTTGTTCCGGGAGTGGCCTTGCCTAAGGACGGGCGCTGACGCGTGGCCGTGCACACAGCCTGTGGCCTGTGCACTCCCGTTTGGCTGCACATTAAAGAAGTAGATTTCCTTGCCTCCGTTGCAGGGATTGTATGTGGAGAGAGGGCAGTTGTGAAAAGAGTTAAGGTAATACAGAGCGAAAGAAAGGTGCACAACAGAGTATCTACAAATCGCGTGTGCCAAGTTCCTTGGTTATTGGGAGCCTTGGAGAGCCCCGACCTCCAGGTTTGACGTGGATGATGCACCGGGGATCAATGCATAGCCAGCCTCCAACCACGTTGTGGGCCAGGTCTTTTTCTCGCACTGCCCTGCGTCGTCAAACGCAAACACTGCGTGCTCACACTGCAAAGCCCAGGAGCCAAGCACTGAGCAAGTTGCTTGTTCACGAATCGCATTTCTGCCTTACCTGTCTCCTGAGCCCACCCCGTCATGTACCCCCATGACAATACTTACAAACAACCGTCAACTTCACATACCCGAGGTTCCCGTTCATCAAACTTGCCCAGTCACTCTCTACGGGAACTCGAGGCCCCTCTGGGGCAGAAGATGTGCCCGAACTGCTCATGCAAGTCGCGGGCGGTGATGGTCATCCAACCAAAAAACGAAAGTCCCACTCCGTAGGTAAACATAAAATGTTGATGTGTACGACAACATCGCGTCTGACTGCCACCCACCGCAATCCGAATGCACCGCTCCCCCGAATGCACCGCTCCCCGACCTCCAAGGCGAAGCAGCTGGACGTGCCCCAACCGCACAAGCCATGATGCGTGAAGTGCTCTAGGGCGAACTTTGGAAAGTGCGCGAGCAAGGACGAGAACCAGGAGGCCACAGTCTTGGACAAAGGGGTGGCTTCGCCGGGAAGGCGGTAAATATGGCGCGGCCGCGGGTCCGTTTGCGCCCAGGCGTGATCGCGGAAGGCCGCCCACAGGCGCATGAGGTCGACGACCTCCGGGGCGCCCCGGGAAGGCCACGATCGGTAACACGACCATGGGGCCTCCCCCGGGCGCAGCTTGGACTTGCGCTCCCAGAAGACGATCTCCTCCGCGTCGATGCGAAGATCCTCCACCAGAATGAAATGGCCCGACTGGGCCCGATTGCAGAAAATGTAGCCGATGTGCGCCGCGCACACCGCCCGAAGGGTGGGCCCGTCCTCGGTGGTCAGGCCAGCGTCCAAGATGCAGAGCATGAGAGAAATGGGGACCGGCCAGTGATGCTGCACTGGGGCCGGCGCCGCCCGACGCCAAGCGGGGTGAGGATGCGGGTGACCGGGTCGAAGGTGGAAAAGCTGAGGTGCCCCACAACGTGATGCATCATGGAAATGGCTGCTAGGTATTGGGGCAGCGACTGAATGCCCATCTTGCCTTCCTCTTGTTGGAACTGAATATATCGGTAGATGGAATCCCGCCGTGCGGGAAGCGCCACCAAATCATGCGCCACGCAAAAGCGCTGGAAGCACTAGAACTTGGCCTGGAGAGTCCGCCGAGTGGCCTCCGTGTAGGAGGCCAAGAACTGGTGCTCTATCCAGTAGTGATCATCGCGGAGCAGGCCATCTAGGTCAGTGCCGTACAACGGGTCATCCTCTACCACCAGTTCCACCGGAAGAGGATCCAAAAGGGGCTCTACCAACGGAGAGGATGGGGCCGGGGGAGGGGACACAGCTTCCTCTGATTCAGCCTCGGATGGCGTGGCGTCCGCGGGCGCGGGCACACAGAACCCCCGCAGATTCCAGCGCGGGGGCGGGAGAGAGGCCGGGAGACTTGGATCGCCCGGCAGAAAAAGGTCGTCCTGGCGAGGAATGAACATCTCTGCCCGGGCCATCGCTCGGAGCGGGCGAAACCACACCGCACTCAGCTAGTCCGGCGCCAACACCACAGCCTTCAGCTATGGTCATAAGGCGAGGAAGGACACGAGCCTCACGAGGAGGCTCCATGGGGGATTGCACCAGGACTTGGTGCCGCTCCAATCCTATTCGAACGCATCCACGCTTGCCAAACCAACATCCCAGTACTGAGTGTTGAACTGGGCACAAAAGGCATTCCAGGCTGACATGAATCAGTCCACAGAATAGGCCCCGAATCTGTGGGCGACCTCCCAGAATATGTGCGGATGCAGGCAGTAGTCCTCCAAGGTCCGTATATGGGAAAGCCGGTCCAGTAGTACATTTTCGGCTGAAGGGATGTACTCCGGCTCCAGGAGAATCCTGCGTGCCGTACACAACGCCCTCAGCTGATGTAAGGGCCTCAAGAGACTGTTAGCTCTGGTCGCCATGGAAAGGAGATATTGCAAGACCACCTGGTTGTCCACCAACAAACGCACCCGCCGGGAAGTCGTCCCGGAATAGCGGTGAGGAAAGAAACTGAGCAGAGCCAAGTGTACGGCTTGCATTTCACGAACATTAATGTGAATAAGATCCCGATCAAAAAATCCCCTCGCAAGCAATGGTTCCACCTAACCCAAAGGCTGAAAAGTCGCAACCTAGCTCGTGAGACTCGCATCCATAGCGAGGGTGCCGATCAAGGGCAAAGAGGCCGGGTGTAGAGCACGGCCAACTAGCCGAGAAAGATTAGTCCACGCCATAAGGTCTAGGTGGGCCTGGGGGGTCAAAGAAAGGCAATCTCGCTAAGAACGTTTTCCTCGCAAAAGAAAATAAAAGACTCATTAAGAAAATCGGGCCAACGGAAAGGCCAAGTATAGCGAAATGGCAGACCCACATAATTGAGCCAAGTTCCACGCTACTACCGCCTCTGACTAGAGTAGGGCATGAGCTCGAGAGGCAATGGCAGCTGCCTTGTCTGGTGGAACCAAAAACTGGCACCGGGTGGTGTCAATGATCAACCCCAAATGCTTCTTCCGTTGGACCGGACCCCATTGACATTTTGAATATTTGAACTCGATCCCAAGAGCCCCGAAAACCCACTGCACGAGACAGGACTATTCCTGCAAATGAACCAGATCGGACATGGCCGCAATGAAGTCATCCAAATAAGCCAAAATCAATGCGGGGACCTCCCGCGAGTACTTAAGGTAGTACCGTAGGATGGAGCCATTTCCCGCTAAGCGGCCAAATCGAAACCGAGTTCCAGCCCGAGGACATGCAGCAAGGGTCTTCAAGAAACGGACCACAACGAGCATGACATAAGTGAAATAAAAAGGGGCCAAAGAAAGGCCAAAGGGCAGCGCCCTACAAGTAAAAATCTTGCCTCCCATTCGAAATTGCAGGAAATACTCCTCGTCGGCATGCATCCGAATGTGATGGTAAGCATTCTTAGTATTGAAGCCTACCAAAAAATCATTCTTTTGTAAAAGAAAAGCGTTTTTCAACCACTCATAGCGGAGACCGACCTTCTTGTGGTGGCGATTGATTCGCCGAAGGTCGATGACCAAACGGAACTTGGTCTTCCCGTTCTCCGCCAGCTTGGCGACCAAAAAGGCGCGCAAAATCCGGGCGTTGGAAGAATGAGCCATCAAGACGATCGCCCCCATCTTGAGGTAATCGTCGCGCAGCTCCCGCCAAGCTTGCCATTCCTCCGGGGTCCTGAGCGGGTATTCGCCTTAATCGAAGGTGGGCGGAGGGCCCCCCAGCCCCCATAGAAGAGGCGCCCCCATATGGATGCATTGAAGAACATGGGAGGGGGCGCCGATGCGCCGCCAGGCAACGAGGCAGCCTTGAAGCCGGGCGCAGGGCGGGGCATCTAGGCGGTCGGCTTGGGGGGTGCTGGCAGGGCGCCGGACGTCTTGGCGCGTGGATGCTTGGCGCCGGAGGAGGGACCGCCGGGGGGCGGAGTCGCGGGAGCTTGGCGGTTGAGCTGTGCTTGATGTTGAGCCGCCGTGGACTTCATCACCAACTTGAGCTGTTGATTGAGGACCTCCTTGCAAATGTGCTCAAGGGGCTCGTCAATCAAGGGGTCCCAGAACCGGCGATGTACCATGCCCAAGCGCACGTTGGTCTGGAGCGCCTTCCACAGCCCGTCGAGGGAGGTGCCCTTCTATTCGCCGTGGACCTGTTGGAGGCGAATTAGGCTCTGAAGGCAGGACGTGATGGTCACTTGGGCATGGACGTACGGGATGAGGGCCTCCCAAAATGTCGGCAGGAAATCGGGGTGGGCCACGAAGTCGATCAGCGTGGCAGTCAGGTCAAACTGCCACGCAACGTAGGGGGCCCAGTTCCAGTACTCCTAGAAGTAGCTGGAGTTGGCGCCTAGGGATTGCGCGAGCTGCCCGCCTTCGGAGGTGTGGCGGACATCGAACCACTCAGGGAAGCATACGCCTGGGTGTCGGACCACTGGGTTGGTCACCGCCTGCGGGAGGAGCTGGGGGTCGGACAGCCAAACCTCATCGATAGAAGCCGTAGGCGGATCATCGTTAAACCGAACTGCTTGGTCGTGCAACCACTGCTCGGCCAGAGAGCGGTTCATAAAAAGAACTCGGCCGTAGCCGGAGAGGACAAGGCACTCGGTGCCTTCCGGTTGTATCATCACAGTGGCGCAAAGCGAAACAAGATAAGGAGGGGGACCGAGGGGCTGCCTAAATAGCCGCCCTCCGCTGCCCCGCCAAAGCCTGCCAAACTTGAGGGCACCCTTCCCGGTGGCACCTCGTATTACCATACTTTGACTGACCCACAGTACTAGGGGTTGGCCAGAAATCCCAAGGGGACGGGGTTGAGTAAACCCCTGGCTTAAAACTGCACCGTTTGAACCGCCGGCGCAGCCCACCCTTCGTCGCCCTTGGAAGAAACCCATTAACAGGATAGTTAATTTCGTTTATAGCCTCAGCTGGTTCTGGGGCGTCCATGGCCTTTCTTCCCCCTACCAATAGTGGCTTTGGTGCAGAGGCTACGGAGACCAGCACTGTCACGCCCCACAGCACTTTGGGAAACCCATACACTAGACGACGCGAGTTGTGGCTTTCTGGGGGCCCGGTGGCTCTCTGCTGTGCACCGCCCTTGTGTGCAAAATTGACAATCCGTGATTTGCTCGTCGCGATGACAACAAATGCGGTTCATGACGAATGCTAACAGAGACGCGCTGCTGCCTGTCTACCCTATACCACAATGTCCACTGCTCAGTGACTCACTTCTCTGAGCGTGAGACCGCAGCCACCCCTAACTAACAGCTAACAGTTCATCACGAGTGAGGCAAATGACATGCGGCGGGCTTCTCCAATTCAACTGAGTTGGTGTTCAATCCTTCAGGCCTTCCAGGATGCCTCCAGTCACGCATGTATCACGATGTGCAACTGCACAACCCAGTTCCGCTCGAGCCCTGTTGTCCAAATCAAAGGCGATCCAGGGCTCGAGGCGCACGAAGCTAACACCGCCCTTCGACAAAAATTGTCAAGATCCCGATCCTATGAAATGAGTTGAAGTGGGCTCCTTCCTGAATGCTGCAACTCGAAAAGCCCCTTTCCCAGCAAAAGATCATTGATGCTCGAGTGTGTCGACAGACCAGCGTCCCTTGCAGTGGTGTCTTGAATTCAACTACCATTCACCTTCTCTTCACTGTAGGTTCCAGATAAGTTTAATCCACAGCATCACGGCATGCAACGTACTCGCGCCGGGAACAGAGTTTCACATCTATCGAACTCTACCCGCTCCTTTGCTAAGAATGGCGCCAATCCTGATGACATAAGCGATACGCTTAAAAGAAATGCTGCCTCTTGTGTTGGTCTTCCACAGGCTCTCACGCAGGAGACACATCGCCCAAACATTGTTTCTCGCGCTACCGTCGTTCAAATGGCAGCAGTGACTCAGATCCCGGACCAGCGCTCCCGGGACCGGCCATTTCTCCCCACAACTGCCATTGGAAGAATTTTCCTCACTCGCTACCCTAAGGTGATGTACATGTTTCAACCTTTGCCTGACGCTGTAAGAGATCGTGAAGAAAAAAGGAAAAAATGGTGCCAATGTGGCATCATGTTTCCCCGACCCATGTCACATCCGGAAGGGAATGTCTCCAGGCTCTCCAGTCGTCCTCATCATCTGGTATGAAGTCACCGGCAGAGCAATGCACAGAGTTGTCCCTCCACCCACCAGTCAGCTCAGCGCTGTACAGATGGTACTGAAATTCGGGCGCATCGATGTCAAGGTGTTTGACCTGCAGGGCGAAGAAATGCAACATGCCTGAGACGGCGGCAAAATCACGGCAAATGACGGAGGAACATTGGGGGCAGCTACAGAGCACAACTGGCTGACCAGGCCAGGCAGGTTTAACTTTGTCAATGCGACCACCAACAGGGATCCCAACCTCCTGTACGTACCACAGTGTCATTGGAGCACCCATTCCAAGCGGCCTTGAAGCCTGGATGATTGTCCAATGTGACAGCATCCGCCAGCAGGACTCCCACGAGCGTGTCTTCCCAAGGCAAGAGGGCCCACCATTTCGGACGCCTGGTGGAGATAAGAAAATGTTTAACCCGCTCAGTCATGGGGATACTGTTCGAAACTTTCACCCAGTCTCAGGGTAGCATACCACTGAAAGTCTTCAGAGGTACGTGCACTCATGGGATGCGACAAAGTCTCCGAATTGGGCACTCCACGCACACAAATGGCACATAAGATTCGGTGCTGCATTATCCATTTGCCACGAGCAGAAACACCTACATTCACTGCCATTCAAGCGAAGGATCGTCAGTTTTGAAATGGCTCCAACCTGGTGCTGCCCTGGCCAACTAGCCAAATTTCCTGACTTCGAGCTTAATGCACATTCACTTCTGGTGCTTGGAAATATGCATCCCAAGAATGGAGCACCACAGCAAGCCACAATTTCACACTGAAGCACAACACATACAGAAGCTTCATGCACTGCAGTTTGCAGTCAGTGCTGCTGAGGGCACTGCTGCCCGTATAGCATCACACCTTTCAGGGTGAGCTGTGTAGTCAGCCACGCGCTGTGCGATGTGCTCAACCATGTCACGGGACATTATGTAGCCCCAACCCAAAGGATATTTGGATCCAACAGGAGCCAGTTCATCAGGCAGCTCATCTGTTGTGAGGTACCACCTTGTAAAAGAAAAACCGAATGTCTCACACACTGTCTCCTGCGCTTGAGTGATACACATCGAAGCTGGTTCCATATGGTGTCAATGTAGTCCCACTCTACACCCCATGCCCCTATGCCCTATGTGCCTCAACCTTCAAGATTTATGTACAAAGCTTTGAGCAGAGCAACTTCAAATCCCAATGCAGGCAAGTGCTAGTCGGCTATACTATGTGCACTTCAGATCATTAAACATCCACTGAGTTCTATTGCTGACAAACAATAAGGGCCGCCACTATAGCGAAATATTAGACATCCAGGTACATCCCATAGAACGTCCCACAGAACCCACATGTTTCCCAACCAACAACAGAGGTATTCCTGGAGCAACATATGCCACCGTAGGCATTTCAAGCTTACTGTAGGCCAACGACGAGAAGAAACACTGAAACTGCTTGGGCAACATCATCTTACTTAGAATGAGGATTCCTGTCAGGACGGAAACCTTGGCGTGGACCCGTCCAATCTCCATGCAATTGTCCTGCATACATTTTGTGCATCCGGGCGTTGTCCTTCAAAAAGGGAACTGCATGAGAAGCACAACCACCAGCAATCAGCATTTGCTCTGCCCATCAACAGGCAATCGCCGGCTGCATCGTACCACAGCGAGGAACCATCCTGCAGCAATCACTACTCCTCCTCACCCTTTGATTGCTTGCCACGACCTTCCTTAATCATCTTCAAGAGATTGTCTGCCCGCAGATAGCAGTCGTCATCAATTTTCAAGACATGGGTGTAGTCACAGGGGCTGCAAAACATGGCAGGCCACAGCCATCAAACATAGCAAACACAAGACAGGCCCAGCCTTCAAAATAAAAACCCATTCCCTGGCCCACACTGGTCACATGGACAATCCAACATGGTGATCACAAGCCCTCAAACTTGGGGTATCGAAGCAAGATGCTCTCCAGGTTTGCTGTTTTGTGACGTCGTGTGACCACAATAAGCGAGAAGGCAACGAAAATAGTTAGCGATTATATGGAGTATGGTATCAAGGTGACGGAAATGGAAACAGTGAGCATGGTGTTGAGTAATGGTGAGATGGATATGTGGAGATATGAGTTACAAGAACAAAGTACGTTGACAGTGTATGGTTGTTTGACGAATACAATCATCTGTAACTCATCCGGTTATGGCTGTGATTCCCATCCACTTCAAACACACGCACAAGCAGTTGCAACCTGGCTGCGTTTGGAGGCAGCCAAGTCGCCATTTTGGGTAGCTCCACAATGTTTCAAGCGCCTTGCCTTCATGGTTTGCTTTAGCAGTGATCTGCATATAAATGCCCAGTGACAATGTACGACGTGGAAGGGTATATTTTGCTTCAGTACACCTTGCCACAAAATCCATTTGTCTTGCGACTGTGTCTGGGATTAAATGTGTCGCAGCTGCAGACAATGGCGCTGAGACTGCAGAGGACAAATCTACAAGCCTCCAATGCCAGTTTCCCCATTTCGTTCCAGCTCAAGGCTCACCTCTCAACCCCATATTGCAACATCTCCAGGGATTTCCTTGGCAATTCCAAGTAACTGTCCTCCCCAGGAAGCACAGCGATGTCATTGTAGAGCTGCACCTCAGCCCTCAGTGCATTGTAGGCTTCTACGAATCGCTCAGGGCTCCCCGGTTGTGCTATGAAGAAACGGACGTCCAGGGAATCTGAATAGCGTTCGTTGATAATCTTCATCCACGTCTTGCGTATGGCATCGCGTTTGCTGAAGGCCTTTGTGTTAAGGGAACAAGCACTGTTCAAAGACCACTCTAACAAACGGCATCTGTCATCTGACAATGTGGTCATCGACACCAATTGTATCAGCATATATGCTCTTGTTCAGGGACTCCCACAAATCCAGTCCTTTGTTCAACAATTTCCGAACCAGGTACATTTCCTTACCGGCGATCCACAGCAAGCTGCAACAATGGCAACCAGCACACGAACATCCGATGTTGGGCACCGTGCCAGAGCACGCCCCATGTCGAGCTGCAACCCCAAGTCGGCGATCTTGGGTGGCACAGTTGGTGTTGAGACATGGAACTCTGGCTTTTCCTGGTACACCTCCTGCATCGATATGTTTTGCAGACTTCAACAAATGTGTCCATATCCCTCCAGGCAGCAACACAAGGCAAAAATTGCCAGGCCCTGGGGCTTCAGCTATAGCACAGTTGCAGAAAAGAACTGAGGCTGAGTTGCCTCAATACACATATAATGAACATCTGGACGTGGCATAAGCTACAACGCGCAGTGCAGATGCCCATTTTGACTCTTTGTTGTAATTGTCCTAGTTTCACAAAATGGCAAGCAGTACCAGCTGCGAGAACACTTTCTGAGTGTGCAAAACTTCTTGGTGTCCTCAGCATTTTCCAGAGTGTAGCACCTGGCCACAAATAGAAGTGCTGCATTCCACAAGCAGCAGTGCACCGTCCCCACATATGCTTGCACTCGGGCACTACGAAGCGTCGCTGTTATCAACATCATACCGAACTCTTGACGTGCAGGCCACACGAAGCAACGTGACGCACTTGCGTACGACACGTGTGTCAACGCACCAGCGCACGGCTGAGTGGGTATCGGGCACACGCCAAACCCTCCCTTGCTGCCCGGCAACGCGACGCACGCAGCGAACGCGAGCGTGCGCCAGGCGCCCCGTCAAAATGCTGGTAAGGACAGTCCGACACGGGGTCCAACTCCGAGGACTCTGCGAGCCTCTTTGGGCAATCTGACGGTGCGTTCAAGGCACTCAACGGACTGGTTGCAATAATAGCAGCGCCGAGTGGCACCTCGACCCCCTCCCCAACGCATCCCTCGCGTGCCCGTCGGGGATTTGCCCTCGATGGTCCTCGATGCTCAACGGCAACATGCCCCTCCGCGCCTCCTCAACCGACACTTGGCAGAAGCTGGCACCCCTTTGCGAACTGCCTGGGCGAGGGAACAGGAGTCGATGCTCGCCATCCACCCACCCCAGCCCGCCCACGCGTGGCCGCACTGTGCAAAGCCCTCCATTGGCCAATCGACGGGTTGCCCAATCAAAGTGGCTGCTTGCGGCCGTCGTTCACCTTGCGATCCTGGACGTCAGTCAAGCCCTCCGCTTCCCGTTTTGGCGCCCTCTCCCTCGCGTACCGGCCGCGCGGCCTCTTCGGATCGTTGTAAAGTACGCCGGCGTCGGCCCACAGGGAGAGGTTGAGCGCCACGGGCAGGTGGACGTACCACCCCGCGTGCATGACCTCCACATGGCCGTCCCCCCTGCTCACCGGTGCGCCCTGCCTTTCCCAGTCGTGCGCCGGGGCTGTGTCCGCCAGCAGGGCGTGTGCTCGATCCCTGAACCTTGAGGTCGCCGGGGGGGGGCGCAGCTCACGCGAATGGACAACCGACGAATGGTATGCCAAATCCGACACCGAGCCAGTCCTCGACGCAAGGGCGCCCATCGTGTCCTTGCTGATCGCCAAAGGCGCTCCGAACAGGCTGAGCAGCGCGACGGCCGCCAGGGCGAGCGCGAAGCAGAGCGATGACGACGCATTCGCGAGGTGTCCACCACGCGGGCAGGCCCTCTGTTTCGCCCCGCGCACCTGCGCGGCCTCCACCATCGGATGGCCGCGGTCGCCCAGCGCGGCGTCCAGGTCCTGCAGGGACACCCTCCGGCGCAGGGGCGCGAAGCCGCTGGCGCTCTCGCACCGCTCCAGTAGGGCATCGGACCAGCACTCGGCCTTCTTGAGATTCCATGGCCAGGTAATTATACGGCGAAGCCTGCCGGCCGCCTGATGCGGCGGGTCCTGCTGGCCCAGGGCCGGGCTGCCGTCCGCCCCGCTTGCCGACCTGCCGACCCTCATGCTTGCCGCGCGGGCGGAGGCGGAGGGGGAGCCCAGGGCTGCAGCAGGCGGAATGCCTCCTGCTGGGCCCAATGTGAGGTGGCACAGTCTGACAGCAATGACACCAGCTCCAGCGCCCATGCGCCAGCGCCCTCACTGGCCAGCCACACGGCATCCCGCGGCGTGCCAGTCGGCCCGTGAAGCGGAATCCACCTATTTTTGTACCAAGACGTACTGACGCCCGCGGAGCGGCGTACCAAACTACGGGCCACACGCCGCACGAGACATCGCGAGACAGGCGGTGCCCAATATTGAGCACCAGTACCGCCTGGAGTAGCTTTACTCCAGCGCTTTGCTGTTTGCACCGAATTGTCCGGCACCTGTGCTTTGCGCCGGAATCAAGCTGCAAAACTATCTCCCTGTGAGAGCATGAAGCCCTGGGGTGAGGAGGCCCGGGTCCCCATGACTTTGGGATCCTTCTGTACACTGGAGAATGCCGTTTCAGTCACAGATGTGTTCGGGTCGCCAATAAATGGGACCAATCTAACATAATGATTGGCAGTCAATTTTTCTACGTACTACCACTCAAGTGGCGCTCAATGAGGCCCAGAATGTGGTCTAGAAATCAGCGGATAGGCCATGGTAAACTGGGGTGCAACATTGAGGATCAGAACACCACCAACAACAGACGTCGATCATCACCAACGGCCATTTAAGCCATGGCCAGAGCAGCACAATTCACATGCAACTGTGGGCATGCACTACATCAGTGCACTGAACTCAGACTTCGACTGCGACTCAAGGATATGATGCCTAGCTCGTCCACCAAAACATGAGCCAAGATGTCGGCATGTTGCTTGTATGGTTCCTCAATCACAGCTGCGAGGAAGTCTGTCTGAGTTGGCTTAGGTCTCAAAGTTAGAATAATGTGCAAACGGTTCCAGATGGGTTGCATAGATGTGTGATATCAAGTGTTTTCTACTCTAACGTTGTTTTATGGTTATCATTATGACTGCCTTACATGGCTGATGAGTCACGGCCAGTATTATATAATTATCTTCACAGCTTATGGCCAGAGGTGGGCCATCCAGGAACGGGGACGGGAACAGGAACGGGGACGGAGCAGAGTCCGTCCCCGTCCTTGGGCCAGACAGATTTGGGACGGATTTGGGACGGATTTTGGACGGACTGGAATGGGCTGGAATGGACTGGAATGGATTGGAACGGATTGGAACGGACTGGAATGGGTCCGTTCCCGACCCAGGAACGGACCCAGGAACGGGTGCATTCCTGGGACAGGAACGGTGTCCTTTCCCATCCCAGGAACGGACCCGTCCCTGGGACGGGAATGGACACCATTGCCGTTCCCATTCCTACCAACTCTGGTAGAGGTGGCCCCATCTGTCCGTCCCCAACAGAATTTGTTTGGCTCCGTTAAAATTCTGTACAATCAACAGAATTTATGAGGGAGCCACAGAGAAAAAAAGCGTTTTACAGAAACGGGTAGGGCCATACTGACGTCAGCATAGACAACTACAGAAATCCACACAGCCTTACAGAATGAAACCAAGTGTTATAGAATTCGCGCCGCCGTCTACGGATGATAGGCACCCGCAACAGAACCGCTGGCCGGACCACAAAGGTCGACAGAATTCCATAAAAAATCGATGGCAATCGCTGCCAGGAAGGGCCCGCACTTATGATTTATAGTATGCTGTGATGATGTGTTCTGTGTGTGTGCTGCCTCCAGCCAAGTACCGGCAGCGACCGCTGCTGGGAAGGGCCCGCACTTATGATTTATAGTACGCCATGATAATGTGTTCTGTGTGTGTGCTGCCTCCAGCCAAGTACTGGCAGCGATCGCTGCCGGGAAGGGCCCACACTTATGATTTATAGTATGCCGGGATGATGTGTTCTGTGTGTGTGCTGCCTCCAGCCAAGTACCGGCAGCGATCGCTGCTGGGAAGGGCCAGCACTTATGATTTATAGTACGCCGTGATAATGTGTTCTGTGTGTGTGCTGCCTCCAGCCAAGTACTGGCAGCGATTCGATACGCCTCTATTCACGACAAGCTTCCAGAATCTCAAAGGCCATGACGGATGGCAACGGAATGCCTGGAAAGGCAACGGAAAAAAAAACATCTTTACAGAAATTGGTGGCTGCAAACACCCCCTTGACGGACAGCTCCAGAGCCAAAAAACTGGAAGCTGACGTGGCATGAGCGGCAACAGAAAGCCGGCCCTGGCAAAACAACAGAAAAGTGACGGACGGATTTTTTGTCTTGAAAAAAAATACGGACAGAAAATGACAGAAAAAAAGCTGAGCGGCCACGTCTAAACTCTGGACGGGCCCACGTCTGCTTATGGCCAAACCAAATACCCACACACAGGCAGCTAACTGATAGCGTGGTGCCTACAATTAGGCCCACAAATGTGGCACAGATTGATTGAAGCCGAACAGGATTGTGCGCAAATCCAGAGACCAATTCATAATCCAAGGAGGGCCTTTCGGTGGCTTGGTCATGTCTGCCCCTAAGTTGTGCACGCCTGTTTTGTTCTGAGCTCCAAAGGAAGCTCAGCCAACCCTTAACTTGTGCCAATTCCTGGGCCAATCTTGCCGGCTGCAGAGAGTCCCCCCGCATGAACGCGCGTACAATGCTACGAGCTCAGATGTACATTCCCCAGATCAGTCTTGCAAGTTTCCTTGTCAAGAGTGAATGGTAAACTATTAAGTTGAGGTATAGTACAACAAGATACGCCAAGCCAATTGTTTGCCAAACTTGCTCAAGTTGTTTCGAGTTGCCGAGGACACTAGTCCAGTATGTCCCATTCAATTTAGAATTTGTTGTGCCATGTACCATAATTAGGACATCATTAAGGTACCGTCTGATGTCTAGAGTTGCACTGATCTTCTGTACACTTAGCACAATTAAATTACCGTTAATCTTTGCGGAGAGTTTCGTCCAACTCCTATGCAATTGTCTGGCCTGGTTTTCAGTTATTGAGCGTCTCTGAGATCCTTGTGTGTTTCCTTGCTTTTCTCCTTTCACAGGGGCAGGAGGGCACACTGTGACACTGGGCATAGACTCTATGCCATAGAGGCGGGCGTTAGCACAAGGGGAGCACTGCTGGATTTGTCAGAGTCCTTTCCAATGTGACTCATGCCTTATAGTCTTTCATTTAGACAGGTTTCAAATGATAATAGATGGGGACTTGCATACTTTCAATTCTGTAATAAATTCGCACTATTTCTAACCTCTGCCTTTTTTCAGTACTGGACCTTACTGAGGCAGTACTTTGTCAGCTGCGAGCTGACCTTGACTTAACGCGAAGCCAACTTAACTTTGACTTACCTTAATTACTTACCTCACCGTCTTTACACTCCCAGTAGACTCTTGTACCAATTCGCAATCAGGTGAATCAAAGCACCCAATAGCCTTTACCAGCAGTTTTTAGAATCTCTATATACACCAGGTTTTTTTGCAAACTTAATACTTTAGTCTTTACTATAGTACAATAGTGGAAGCTCTGAAGGCTTCCCCACTATGTACTAGGCCGGATCTGGGACCCCACAGGCTTCCCTAGTGGATCCAGGCCAAGGGCTCTAACTTAAATTATAGTCAGTTTGGGGCCCCGCAGGCGTTCCTAATAGACTGAGCTATAATTAGTCTAAATGCCCTTTTAGCGAGACAAAAGACTATTTTGAGAAAATCCGAAATTCTTTACACAGTGGCCCTCCGTGGACCACAACTTGTACTACAAGGTTTGGTTCAGTTTTTAGGTTTCCAAATCCCTTTGCCTATTGGCTCAGGAACCGGACACTTCGGATTTAGATGTCCAAAGGGGCTTTTGCCCTGCTATTTATAGCCCACAGCGACTGTCCCTACACCCAAAATATTCCCCAAAAGATTCCGATCAGTCCCTATTAACTTTCTGGATCATCCTCTCCCTATCTAGTCAACTTCCCGCTCAACCTACTGATTCTCAGCATGTCTTTATCATGAGCACATGCTGATCCCACAAATTTCCAGGTTCGCACCAATCATAGTCTATGTTGCTCTCAGAAATCGCCCAGAACCATGACATATCTTAAGTTGATCCAATTTATCACCATGATTATCTTTCTTCCTTATTTGCCCATCACTTCTGCCACCCAATTCATCATTATTATCCATACTTACTGAACCGATCATTCACTTCCAATCACATCAAAAAAAATCAAGATCATAATACTAATCACAAGCTTATTTCGATCTAGAGACAGAATGCAATTGAGCTCTCATGCTGTCTCATCAATTCAGAAGTTTTGGTGCACAATTCTCCAGCCCTCAGCCTTGCTGTCCGACCCAACGCGCTGCCCGCCTCCAATGTTCACCTCATCGCTTTCTTCCCGATCGCCATCGTACATTTCCGCGTCCGCGGCATGCGGACCCTTGCCAATGATGACGAATTCTGCGCCCTCCGGAATGGGCACACCTTGCGTTCCCATGGCAGAGCCAGTGCTGCCTTGCGCTGCGCCCACCCCCCCTTCCGCAGCTTGCGCATGGTCATGCGCGCCATAATGGCGCCACCATTTCCCTGAGGCCCATATTGATCGTCATCTTCCTCCTGATCCAGAACCCCATGCCGCACCATTTGGCACGGTTCCCATCCAGGCGGGCCCCAAGCCTCTTTGCTTTCCTCCTCAACCCAGTCCATATTCGTCGTGACGAGAATGTCCGCTATCTTCGATCACCTGACTCCGTCCTCACCTGCTTCCCCATGCCTCCACTAGAGGTGGCCACTCAAAGATGCCATCCGGTCCGTTAAGTCCGGTTCGTTAATTTTTATTAGCTGTCCGTTAAATTTCGTTAAAGAAAAAGGGAGAAAAATTCAGAAAAAAACGAAAAAAATCCAAAAAAATCAAAAAAACCCCAAAAAATCACAACAACTGCGGCTAGTTGAAAATCTAGTATGCATAGGTTGAAATAAAATACAAACATACTCTCTAATAGCGAATTCCATAAACTATAAGTATGACTA